CACGGAGGCCAAGTCCCAGCAGAGGACACACGGGTGACCACAGGCTCCTCCTCCCCACTCGGCCCCTTTCTCACCCGCACACGGGCGTCGGGTCCAGGACCCCGACTCAGAGGCGAGGAGACCGCGAGCCCGAGGAGGGCGGGCAGAGGGAGGACCCAGGGAGCCCCGGGCCAGGGTCACACTTCGGGGGAGGAGATTCCCAGTGAACAGCAGTTTGTTGATGAAGCGACAGGGAACCGAGCGCCTCTAGGAGTGACTGAAAGACGTAACCTCGTGGCCACCGCCCCCCCACCAGCACCTCCTACCAAACCGCCCGGAGAGGCCGCTTAGAGTCCACGTGTTTCTCCGTGTAGAAGACGCCCCCCACTTTTCCAAACCAAAACTAAGAAATCAGTATTTTAAACATGAGACAGAACACATTTTATCTAGTGATCGCCGCAGGGCATGTCCAGATGCCGGCACTCTGACAGGCAGCATGGCCTCTGTCCGGCCTCTGTTGCCTCACTGCTCTCTGATTCATCACGTTGGTTCCAGACGTATCGCTCTCTCCGACTTCTACTGTGTCTTCTGAGTCACTGTGTATGTGAGATCCTCCTCATGAGCTGGTGGCATTTTCTCAGCCAACTCGGTGCGTGTTCTCACGGCCAAGCCTTCTCTCCTCGTGAAATGGAAGCACCATTTGCCTTTCCTGTGAAGTCACTTCGCCCGCAAGCATCCTCGCCTGACACTGAATAAGCCACCTGGCGCTGCTCCATAACCCAAGCCTTAGCCCCTGCTCCACGTCTGCCCACTGCTGGTTCTCCTCTGAAGGCTTCTTCCTTTTTGGCATCTTCAGGAGCCGTTCTTCCTGTTTTCTCCACTGTCTGCTCATGCGCTCAGTGGAGGGGTCCACATGGTCCCTCTGCAGCTCTGTTTCCATGCTCTCTGCACAGCTGCTTACATTCAGTTTGAATTTTTCAGAGTAAGACAATCGCTTACTGGTATTTATCTTTTTATTTATTTGTTTATTTATTTTACATCTTTTTGGGCTCAGAACGCTCCGGTCCCTGTTGCATCTGCCACTCTCCACCTCCACCTCCAATTACAGCATCAGCTGCCGTCAGTAACAATAAGGCTCGTGATTGGAGGAAGCCTGTTTGACAGGGTGTGGGCAGCCACGCACCCTCCTGGCTTCCTCCTCAGCTGACTTTCGTGTGTAAGACGCCCCTCGATTTTCAATCTAACGACTTTAGAAAACAATAGGGTCTTATACATGGAAAACTACAGTAGTCACGTCCAAGCCAGGCCGGGGCTCCAGGGACTGCGAGGCTGGCGCACATGGGCAGTCATTCCTGCACAAACGCCAGTGAAAGCTGCTGCCCACCCGCTTGGGCACCGGCGGAGGCGGGGCCGCCCCTGCCCCAGGCCCTGGCAGTGAGGCAGTGACCGGCCCCGGCCCCAGTCGCAGGGCCAGCGGGGAGGGTGCTGCTGCTTAGGGTCCCTCGGGTGGCGTTCTCTTACCAAGAGCACCCTTTTCCCTTCGGAGCCCGTGCCTAGGGAGCTGGGCTGCCAGGTCCCTCTTCTGGGGGTTGGGGGGAGGCCTCCCCCTCCCCCCCGCACCTCAGTTTCCTCGGGGGCTGGGTTCTGGGGTGACCCCTGTACCCAGAAACAAAGTGGGCCAAGAATGAGACGCGGCGACGGAATGGGCACCAGGTAGCGCTAACCCACCTGGGTCCTGACACCCACAGGCGCGGACATAGAACGGAGATGCAACGACGCCCCCTCGCGGGGGGGGGGGGTCATGGGCCCCTGCGCGGCTGGGCTCTCCCTCGCGCTCTCCAGGACCCAGGTGCTGGCGGGCGGGGCTCTTACCTGGGGGCTCCTGGGTTGCTGGTGGAGTCCTGTTTCCCGCCGGGGTCTGAATGGGGGCCGCGCTCTGCCCCGAGCGGCGCCCACCCGGGCCTCTCGCCTGCCCACCTGCGAACCAGTCACAGCCGAGTCTCCCTGTCTCCCTGTGCTCAGCAGCTGACTCCACCTGGAGGAAACTCGCTGCTTTTAGCTCGCCGGGCCCGGCCCACCAGGTAACCGCCAAGGTCAAGCGCCAAGGGCCCTTCACTGCATCTCCAAGCCTTCGCAGCCGCACCCAGCTCAGCGCAGGGTTTAAGAGGTGGGGCCTCGGGGCCCAGCGTTAGAGTTCTGTCTACCACGCCCATCAGACCCGCGTTCATTTGCTTTTCAATTTGCTTATTTTGGAGTTTGATGAAGGATGAAAAGGATGCCCCCACTGAGGGATGATGATGATGATGATGATGATGATGATGATGATGGTGGTGCAGCCTGCAGCAGTAGAGGGACCCGGATTCTAGCTTCAGCCCGACAGCCACATGGAGCTAAGATTGGCCGGGAACAACACACAAAAGCTCTCCCTTTGTCCCACCTGCATGACCCCGAGCAAGTCGCCCAACCTGGTGACCGACAGCCAGCGCACTGCGGGCCGGGGGCGGGAGGGCGTCTGCACCGAGCCTGCCCCCGCCGCTCGGCGGGGATGAGCCTCACACCGGCGGCCCACATGCTTCGAGCCATCTGCACGGCCTCCTCCTGAGCACGCTTTGCTCTCTAGACGCCACCCCGTCCTTGTTGGGGCCACCACGTGCCGTCTGGCTTGGTCTTCGTGCACCCCCTGGGCCAGGCCTCCCGTCCCCTTGCTGGGAGAGAGGTCCACTGGCTGGCCCATGTGAGGAACCACGTGTGGATCCATGTAGGGGACACTCCCAGAGCAGCAGCTTCATCGCCACGAGGACAGGGCTTGCACTGAGGTGATCACGTCCTAGACCTCAGGACTAGCTGAGCAGACTCCCAAGAGCAGTGGCAGAGTGACCTCTGCAGCCCGCCCCTCGGAGCAGTTCCCCATGTGGCCACGAGATGGCAGCACAGGCAGGCCCGTGGGGCGGGGTGTTCCCCGGCTCCAGCATGAGCTCCTCAGGGCGGGATGCCCACCTGATTTCCCCTGAGCCCCAAGGAGAGGGAGGAAATGAGGATTTGTGTCTCTTCTCAACCTCACAATAAAGAACATGATCCCGGCCTTACAGGTCGGCATATTAAGGCTCAGAGCAAGTAAGTGCCTTGCCCAAGGTCACAGCCCCATGGAAATCATGGCATGTTGCTTGAAGTTTTAATACAGAAAATTTCATATATACAAACCTCCACAGTATCCCTCATCCGGCTGAACCACTATCAACATTTTGCCTCTGTGTTTCTCCTATGCTCATTTTTGGCTTTTTACTAGTGATTTAAAGTAAACTCCAGACACTGTGGAAACTCGCTGTAAATACTTTCAATTTTACCTCTAAACGACTAGGACAGTTTTTCCTAATCAGCTATCTCTTCCTACAAAAGCAGCAGTAACTCGTTATTATCTAACACTGTTTATAGTCACATTTCCCCACGGGCTCACAGGTATCTTCTTTAGTTGGTTTGTTCCATCAGGATCCAAACAAGGCCCACACCTTCCACTCGATTATGTCTTTAAGCTCTTTTATCCCCAAACAGTCCCATTCCTTTTTTATCTCCATGCCCTTAATGAACAACCAGGTGTTTTCCCACAGAACATCCTAAATTCTGGATCTGGCTTTTTTCCTTCTCCTACAGGTGGCACAGGGCCTGCCTGGCACACAGTAGGTGTTCATTCAACGTTATGAATACTGAAGGGGAAGCAAAGTGAAGGAATAGAGGTTCGGTCCTCAAAAAGTGACAAGCAGCAGCACTATACTTGGGGAGACCACAGGCTCCAGTCCTCGGGTCTTGGGGAGACCACAGGCTCCAGCCCTCGGATCTTGGGGAGACCACAGGCTCCAGCCCTCAGTTCTTGGGGAGACCACAGGCTCCAGCCCTCGGATCTTGGGGAGACCATAGGCTCCAACCCTCGGATCTTGGGGAGACCACAGGCTCCAGCCCTTGGTTCTTGGGGAGACCACGGCTCCAGCCCTCGGATCTTGGGGAGACCACGGCTCCAGCCCCCGGATCTCGCGGAGAGGACTGCAGGCCCGGCAGTCCTGCAGCAGGAGCCAGGCCACAGCTCCCAGGGCCTCACTGGAGGGGCAGCCGCTGAGGGCAGCGGAGCCAGCGGCACCTCCTCTTCCGGCTCCGGCTTCTTCCAGGCCCGCGGACACTGATGACAGCTGGGTTGTGAGCTTCAGCTGTGTCTCCAGTTTTCCTAGGTGCTGTTCCTATTTCGTTCTGTTTTGTTTTATTCCAAGAAAATTGAAGGTGATAGAAAAGTGCAAAGAAAACCAACATACACCCATCACCCAACATCAACACTGCCCACATTGTCACATGTGCTTGCTGGGTTTTTGTTGTTATTTTGTTGTTGCTGCCGTGATTCTTAATAAAACGCAGATAGCGATGGCGTGCTCTAACCGCGACTCGCTGCTTCACCACCGGAGCAACAGCCTAAGGGGGTGGAGCCTCCAAACCGCTATTCCTCACGGACCTGCAGGGGCATTGGGGCGCTTTCGCCCTTCGCCCACCCGCATCCATCAACACTGGGCGCTTTGCGCCAGGCACCGCGCCAGGCGCTGGGCTGTAGGAAAAGAGGCCAAATGTCCGCCCCGCCCCCAAGCTGTCCGAGAGCAAAGAGCGAAGTGGGGTGTTAGAAAGGAAAACGGGCCCAAGGACCGCGAGCGCCCAAACGTGCGCACTTCCGGCGCCCCTTTCCCGCCCCCCCCAAGCTTCCTCCCCATTGGTGTTTCCCTGACCACGCCCCGCCCACGGAGGGTCTCCTCCCACTGTTTCCTTCAACTTTCCCCGCCTCTGTCCCGGGGCTTAGGGAGCCCTCAGACCCCGCCCACCCACCGTGACCCACGGTTATTGGTGACTCCTGTCCGTCCATCAGAAGAAATACGGTCGCGAATTGGCTGGAAGAAAGTAGCAGGCACGGAGTCTGCGCGAGTTGCTTGGCCCCCCGAGGGGGGCGGGCCGGCGCCCTCCGCGCATGCCCGGTGCGCGCGCAGTGTCGGCGCGGTTGGCGGTCATGGCGGCTCGGTGCGTGAGGTTGGACGGAGCCCCCCCCCCGGCCTGGGTTTCTTCTCTTAAAGAAGGGAGTCGCGGTTTACTAATACATAAAGGGAGGCCAAAAATA